GAACGGGGGTCAGCTACACTGAAGGAAAAGCCACTGTGTATTATGGCATACAACAAATACATGGGTGGAGTTGACCTCTCTGACCAGGTCTTGCAGCCCTACCTAGTGCTGAGGAAATCAAACGCCTGGTACAAAAAGGTTGCAATATACCTTATCCAGGTGGCTATGCACAATTCATTTGTCCTTTATAAAAAATCTGGTGGTACTGACACCTTCCTGCAGTACCAGGAAAAAATTATAGAACACCTGATGTTTCAAGAAGAAGACCCAGACAACCAATAGAATCAGAGGATGTTAAGAGACTAACAGAAAAACATTTTATGTGTCCTATCCCCTTCTCATTAACCAACAAATACCCTAGGAAGAAGTGTCGTGTGTGCAGCAAAAAAGGGAAAAGAAGTGATACTCGTTACCACTGTCCAAGATGCCCTTCCAATCCAGGCCTGTGCATCCACCCTTGTTTTGAAATTTACCACTCTATCCTGCATTATTGAAAACCAGAAATATCAAGAGGGAAGAGGTTAACTATTACCTTATTTTTTCCCTTCTATTAAAATAGCGCCAGTCATTTATGCAGTATTTTATGCATATTTTTAAGTTAGCCCTTAAAAGATAAATTCACCCTCACAAAAAAAAAAAAAAAAAAATGCACATTTTTTTGCAGGTAAAAAAATATGCATTCATTTTTTTTTCGTTAGGAGCCTGTAAATCATGGCACCCATGGTCAGCAGATCGTGGGTGTAATGGCATGGTCCTACAGGCTTGTCTGTGTTGCTGTCTGCCGAACCTCTGATATGGGCAGTTAGTTACACAATGACAGGAAGCATCAATGAACTATCTAGAGATCTCAACAGTGCCCTGGTAGTCCATTGATGACTACAAGCTGACAGCCACAAAGGCTGCTGGTACTTGTAGTTTTCACATTCGATCACATTAGTTTGGGACAGTGAGTGGGGGATCGTCACCCCCCCCCACTCACTGTCACAGAAACGGGAGATCGGGGGGTGTGGGGGCAGATGTAACATGTTACACCCATATTGAGGGTGTAACATGTAACATGTTAAAAAAGGTGAACTTATCCTTCAAAAATAATATCACGCTGCAGAGTGTCTGTAATATATATATTGAAGTGTTGCATTCAGAGAGGGCAATTAATCCAAATCGAATTATCAAACTATTGTTTTTGGATCCCACTATGGTTAAAAACAACATATATTGCGCACATATATAGTATCCCCATGCATGTCAGAAGTAGGAGAATTTATTTTGGGTTGATTTTTGCTGGTAGGTCATAGTAATGGCACAAAATATACAGCTAAATTAAAACACTTGTGAAAAAAAATGTAATTTTATTTTTTTTCCCACCAAATCAAAAAGAATTACTTCAAAAACAGAGGGTCAAAACCCAGGCTGCACCCCTAGATAAATATCTTAGGGGGTCTGGATTGCAAAATGAATTGATTTGGGGTAATTCTGTTATTTGGATATCACAAATGTCTGCAATAAATGCATGGTGCCTGAAACCTAAACTTGAATTAAATGCCCTCTCAAAGGTAAAATGCACACTATTGATTCTGAGCCCCACTACAGCTACAAAAAATATATAATGCACACATATATAGTATCCCCATGCACGTCAGAAGTAGGAAAATTTATTTTGGGTTGATTTTTGTTGGTAGGTCATAGTAATGGCACAAAATATACAGCTAAATTAAAACATTTGTGAAAAATAATTTTATTTTATTTTTTTTCCCACCAAATCAAAAAATGTCTTCAAAAAGAGAGGGTCAAACCCCAGGCTGCACCCCTATATAAATATCTTAGGGGGTCTTGATTGCAAAGTGGAGTGATTTGGGGGGTAATTCTGTTTTTTGGATACCATAAAGTGTCTGCAATAAATGCATGGTGCCTGAAAACTAAACTTGAATTAAATGCCCTCTCAAAGGTAAAATGCACACTATTGATTCTGAGCCCCACTACAGGTACAAAAAATATATAATGCACACATATATAGTATCCCCATGCACATAAAAAGTGGGAGAAATTATTTTGGGTTGATTCTTGGTGGTAGGTTATAGTAAAAGCACAAAATATACAGATAAATTGAAACATTTTTGGAAAAAATTTTAGATTTTTGTTTTTCTCTACCAAATTAAAAATCATTCCTACAAAAACAGAGAGGCTAAAAACCCAAGATTTACCCCTAAAAAAATATGACAGGGGGGGTCATGATTTCAAGATGGAGTGATTTGAGGGGTAATTCCATTATTTGGATACAACAAATTGTCTGTAATGAATGCATGGTACCTGAAAAGTGAACTTGGATTAATTGCCCTCCTAAGGGCAAAATGTGCACTATGGTTTTTGGGCCCAATAATGAGTACAAACAACATATAACACACACATATTTGGCATATTTATTCACAGCAGGAATAGAAGAAGTTATTTTGGGTTGTTTTTTGGTGGTGGGTCATAGTAGCAGCAAGAAATCTATAGTTAAAATGGAAAAAACTGATTTTTTTTTTTTTTACCATTTTGAGCCAGTTTTCCTTTTATAATAAAACAAGATGTATAAATTATTTATTAACATTTACCACCAAAAGAAAGCCCAATGTGTCCTGAAGAAAACAAGGCATAATCCACTTGGATACACTAAGCCGTTGCAAAGATATGTACAATTTAACTAACACATGTCAAAATTGCAAAACTGCATTCAGGCATTAAGGTTTGTTTTACCCTTAGGCATGAAGGGGTTAAAAAAGAAAATTTATTATCCAAAGCCCCAGTTAATCCAGAGGAAGGCAAAAAAAAAAACAGCAAAGCATGATCCAATTTGCTCCTGCAGGGGAAAAAATTTCTTCCTGATCCCCCGAGAGGCAATCGGATATTCCCTGGATCAACTTTACCTATAAATGTTAGTATCCAGTTATATTCTGTGTATCAAGGAAAGAATCCAGACCTTTTTTTAAAGCAATCCACTGAGCTGGCCAGAACCAACTCTTGAGGGAGTCTATTCCACTATTCTATTCTTACTGTGAAGAAACCTTTCCATGTTTGGAGATTACATTTCTTTTCCTCCAGACGTAGAGTGCCCCCTTGTCCTCTGTGATGACCTCAGGGTGAATAGCTCCACACCACTGCTTATCACTGTGGAGTTCCAGCCCTTCTCTTCCCATTCATCAGCAGAGGTGGAGTTGCGCTTGCGGAGGAAGGTAATGTATGACTCTGATGTTTCATGTCTGTGTGAGTGTGACCTGGCTGGCTATCACATGTGCAGTGTGTCAGTGAGTGATGACATCATCCTGATCCCACAGCCTGTCTTACTAGTGCCTGCTGATTTGGGTCAGTACTTGTGTGCGGTGTGTTGTGTCGGATCTGTCACTGTGTGGGGTTGCTCAGTTCAGGCGTTCTGTTTGTCTGTGTATGTGGGCTGGGCTGCCTGCTGTCACGACATTTTATCTCCCTCCCATTGCCTGAGGAATTCCAGCCTGGGATCTTTCAGAGTGTGGATCCATCATCATCCTCACTCACTGCAACTGTCACCCTGCCACTGCCAGCCACAGATACAGTCCATCCGTGACACTGATTTTGTCTGTAATATTGATGCTGGTGGCATCTTATGGCACTTATTTTTGCAAATTAAAAGAAATTCAGTAGATCTATGTTTTGTTGATTAAATATTTTCTGCTGTTTTTAAAGATTTTTTTTGAGGGGGGGGGGGGGGTTGCAAATAGTTGGTCTTGCCTAGGGCACAAAATAGTCTAGCACCGGTCCTGCCTGTGAGGTCGATTTACTAAAACTGGAGAGTGTAGCTCTGCATAGAAACCAATCAGCTTCCAGGTCTTTTTGTCAAAATCTAATTGAACAAGCTGAAGTTAGAAGATGATTGGCCACCATGCACAGCTGCACCAGATTTTGCGCTCTCTAGTTTTAGTAAATCAACCCCAAAGTGTACATGGATGCATTGGCTAACATGTAGGAGTGTTTATAGGCAGAAAAAAACCCAAGTGTTTATATGCAGCTTTAGAAGCATCCAGTGTGCTTCTAGAGTCCTAAATAGCACATTAACCCCCTAAATATCTCTTGAAGAAATCCAACTGTGTCAATCTCTACTATATCTTTCTGATGATGGAAGTGTCATTTACCGCTGTCTAAATTCTGGCAAACAAATGCTGTGCAGTAATAGATCATGATAGTCTTGAAAGATATCAAATGTTGCCTTCCATTGATCGAAATATTAGAATGCACTTCAACGGTCTAATGAACCTTGTTATCTCACGACTCGACTACTGTAACTCCCTCCTCACTGGATTACCTCATCACAGACTATCCCCGCTTCAGTCAATCCTGAACTCTGCGGCCAGACTCATCCACCTTACCAACCGCTCTCTGCCACCCCCCTCTGTCATTCCCTCCACTGGCTTCCGATTGCCCAACGCATAAAATTCAAATTACTATCACTGACATACAAAGCTATTCATAATACTGCCCCAAACTACCTCACCGACCTGATATCCAAATACCACCCAACACATACTCTTCACTCCTCACAAGACGTCCTACTCTCTAGCTCCCTGGTCTCCTCCTCCCATGCCCAACTCCAGGACTTCTCCAGGGCTTCCCCCATCCTCTAGAACTCACTACACCAATCTATCAGACTGTCATCTACCCTCCTCACACATTTAGGCGCACCCTGAAAACCCATCTTTTCAGGGAAGCCTACCCCGCCCTCACCTAACTACTGATCTCCTCCACTCCTCCTACCACTCCATCCCCCACAGCCATTTACTCCTGTACCACTATCCCCTCCCTCCTAGATTGTAAGCTCCAAAGAGCAGGGCCCTCGAATCCCATCCCTCGTGTATTGTATTGTTACCGTATTGTGTCATGTACTGTCTCCCATTCTAATGTACAGCGCCTAGCAAACTTTTTGGTGCTTTATAAATACTGTATAATAATACTGGCATGTGCATTTCATGTTTTCTTTCACCTCTACATAGGAGGACAGAGAGTATGTTGGATTTGCCACTCTACCGAACCAGGTGCATAGAAAGTATGTGAAAAAAAGGCTTTGAATTCACTCTAATGGTTGCAGGTAAGCAGGAAAATCCTCCTTTCACCTCTAGAAGGTACTAAACAGTGTGTTGTGGGAAGGGTGTGTTAACCTCCCTGGCGGTATTCCCGAGTGTAGCTCGGGGTAAAATTTCTATACCAAAAGCGGTAACCCCGAGCTACACTCGGGCTTACCATGCAGCACTGCATAGGGAGTCCCTGCAGCACTTACCTTGTCCTTCGCTCCCACGATGTGTCCCCTGCAGCGTTCCCGGCCATCTCCTCCGTCTGATGTCGGCATCCGGCTCCTGTGTTCCGGTTCCCGTGACCTCGGGACGTACGGGCGCCGACGGCGGCGGGAAATTTGAAAATTTAAAAAAAATGTCATTTTTTTCAAAATGATTCTAAATAGTAAAACATTGCTGTTTCAACCTATTTCACATACATTTTGTCCCTAGTGCTTTGTCCTGTCCCCTGTCTGCATTTTGATTGTTCTTTCTGCCTGGAAACGTAGAAAAGTCCATGGCGTCCAAAAAGCGTCCCTTTAGGTCAAAAGCGGTTTTAGATCAGCTAGAGAACAGCGATAGTAAATCAGGACCACTTGCAGAATTGAGTGATAATGATTCGTGGGGAAATTCGTCATCAGACATTGAAAACAATTTTGCGACTTTGCTCAGTGATGTGCGAACTTGGCGCTCTATTTCAAATTTCAGTGTTTTTGGTTTGATTATATTATTGAATTAAATGTATGATTTAGAATCTTGTTCAGACAGATTTCAGTGAGTTATTCCTAAAAATTACAGCCTACAATAAAAAAACTACATATTTCCATGCAAAATAATGGTACCGCTTTCAGCACCAAAAATCGGAAAGAATCATACCGCCAGGGAGGAGGTTAAAGTGGTTGTAAACCACAGATATGAAACATGAACAAAGCGTATCTTTCTATAGTATGTACTTGTCCCAGTTTAGAGTTACATAGTTAGTCTAGCTGAAAAAAGATAAAAGTCCATCCAGTTCAACCATAGAAAAAAAAAGTTATAATCTTTACCCAGAGTCAGGGGCGAACTGACAATTCATGGGGCTCCCGGCAATAGGAGATCATGGGGCCCCTGTGTCCCTGCCCAAACTGAAAAAAGCCTATGAAGAAGGTACCAGTGGCATCTCATGGGGCCCCCTACTGACCCCGGGCCCTCGGGCAGTGCCCAAGTTTCCAAATGGTCAGTCCGTCCCTGCCCACAGTTGATCCAGAGGAAGCCAAAAAAAAAAAAACCCCAGCAAAGCACGATCCAATTTGCTCCTGCAGGGAAAAAAATTCCTTCCTGATCCCCCAAGAAGCAAATCGGATATTCCCTGGATCAACTTTACCTATAAATGTTAGTATCCAGTTATATTCTGTGTATCTAAGAAACAATCCAGGCCTTTTTTGAAGCAATCCACTAAGCTGGCCAGAACCAACTCTTGAGGGAGTCTATTCCACATTTTCACAGCTCTCACTGTGAGGAAACCTTTCCGTGTTTGGAGATTAAATCTCTTTTCCTCCAGACATAAAGAGTGCCCCCTTGTCCTCTGTGATGACCTCAGGGTGAATAACTCTACACCGAGTTCACTATATGAACCACTGATGTATTTATACATGTTGATCATATCCCTCCGTAATCTCCTCTTCTCAAGAGAGAATACATTCAGTTCCTCTAATCTTTCCTCATAGCTGATCTCCTCCATACCTCGTATCAGTTTAGTTACCCTTCTCTGCACTTTCTCCAGTTCCCCAATGTTCTTTTTGTGAATTGGTGCCCAAAACTGAACTGCATATTCCAGATGAGGTCTTACTAATGATTTGTACAGGGGTAATATGATATCTCTCTCTCTGGAGTCTATACCTCTTTTAATACGAGAGGATTTTCCTCGCTTTAGAAACCGCAGCTTGGCATTGCATGCCATTATTAAGCTTGTGATCTACCAGAACCCCCAGATCCTTCTCCACCATTGATTCCCCCAGTTGTAGCCCCCCAAGCACCAAGTGTCATTTCTGTCTGCTGCCTCCTTCTTCTGCTATCAGCATGAGTCACTTCTGACAAGTTTTTCTGACACCAAGAGAAACATGGTGACAAGAGAGAGACCTCCAGCAGCTTGAGAACCTCAGCTTTGTTCCTGCTAGCTGTGTGAGGGGGGTGTGTCTCTTCTCTCCAATCAGCTCTCAGAGCTTTCCCCGCTGATATATCGTCAGCTCCCCACCCCCGCTATTAAGAGCTGAGAGATCCTGTGTAAATTCTGCACTTTGAATGGATGTAGAGAAAGGATGGCTATAGATAAACAGGTACAACTTATGCAGGAGGATTTGTTTAATTTCTGTGTATCACCTGAGGCCAGTCACTTCACTGGGTATGTGTAAGAGTGTTACAACCACTTTAAGATGCTAAGTTTCTAATCATCTTTTCTTTGACAGGTGAATCTGGTCTTGGAAAGTCAACCCTCATCAACAGTCTTTTCCTGACTGATCTCTATCGGGGCCGTGAGCTGCCAAGCCCAGAAGGTATTATAATGAAAACAATAGCTATGCTGTTAGTGTCCTATTTAGGCCAGATTCACACTAGTGCTAGTTGGGAATATGTGCAAAATTTGAGCATTTCCGACATGCACAGAATAGCACTGCCCTGTAACAAAAGCATGGCCATGACAATAATTCTTAATGGCACCCCCACACATCTGCTAAGGCATGTGATTTACACACTAAAATTCATGATGCCATAGCACCATGTATTTTGGTGCCATGCGTTTTTGGAAACGGATCAGGGACAACTTTTCTGTGTTTCTTGTGGGTACGGCAGCCTACTAAAATGAAAAGGCTACCATACACGTGACGTATGGGAACGCAATAAAAAGTGTGCACTTTTACATTAAATTTATATGGAAAAGTGGAAAACTGAGTTAAGAGGAAGCTTTGCGAGAGATTGTTAGACTGCCATTGCTGATCCCCTTCTGAAAATGTTACCAGTGCGTCTCTTGCTTCAATACCAGAACAATTATGAAGCAAGTGGAGTCAGAGTGAAGTCAGAACTCCTGATGTGCCAACTTGCTCCAGATCAGTGACTCAGAAAGTATTAAAACATCTGGATCAGCATGCAAGCCAGAAGAAGAGGTCAGCAATGGCAGCCTTGTTCTCAGCACAGACTTACTTTATTACTCTGCATTGTTCTCACTCAATGCCATGTATGCTTTTTGTTCCGTGATCTGTATTCACACTAGTAATATTCTATTATCTCTTGGTAAAAAGTTACCTTTTTTTCATTTGACAATATTAGCTATGTTCAAAAAGAAATAGTTTGATTTGTTAAAGCGTAACTCCAGCCTTGTATTTTTCTATAGAATTGGGAAGTATTCATGCTGATTTGCAGCCTTACCTTCCGTCTTACAATGCAACACGCTGCAGTCCATGCATGGCACCTCATCACACCAAGGCATTTAATGTGCGTTACTGCAAATAGATAGTGTGAACAGGCACTATAGATCTGTTATTATAACACTTCTATTTAGTTAATCCCATGATAATTTTCTTCTAAAATATTCAATTCACAAACATAAGTGTTACCAAGATGTGTAATTTTTAGTTCTTTTTTTTATGTGAATAACAATGTTTGGAAGGCCCTATTTCCTAAAATGTTGCTATTTTACCTTGTGAAGTGTTGTGTATTACCACCTCACTCTCGCTTGCTATCAATCTTCTGTTTTAATCCCTAAATACTGCACCACAGCTTTGCAACCACATGCATTGCTCCTGGTTGCAGGGCAGTTGCAGAGCGGCCCATTCACTTCACTGGGTGGTGTTTGGTGGGTATGACTGCCTGCCATACATGGCAGGAGCACAGCATTGTGGTCACAGCATATGTATACCTCTATATAGCTGCCTTTGCTTATAGGGGGTGGTTGGGGGTGGTAAAAGCATGATTCAACCACTGTTTTTTATTGCCCCTCCCCCCAAGTGCAAGTGTAAACTAAGCCTAACAGTGATTAATAGCTCTAGTAGTGGTAAAATACCATTATATACAAGGCTTACTAAGTAAAGAGGGGGGAATCTAATAAAACTGCAGCAGGCAGAATCTAAAACAGCTGTGCATAACAGCCAATCAGCTTCTAATGTCAGCTTGTTCAGTTGCCATCAAAGATAACTGTCACATTTACTAGTGTCATAACTGATAACATGTGCAGTACCGTGGCAACTGCCAATCAAACAGAGGCTAAGATGGCAACTTCCTTGGCTGTAAAGCATAGTAGGGTTTAGTTCCAGGAAATAAGGTAAAATTACCCCAACAGAATCGTAGACAGTAATACTGTTTTGAAAGAAATGTTTACTTTTTTCAAGTGATTATGGACTGAGAAATTTTCGGATGCCGCTCAAGGTCCCATCCCAAGCTCCAGTGATTGGCATGGTGAGAGACCATCCCAGGTCAATGCAAACAATTAATGGAGAAGGAAGATCCAAACACCACACACCATCCAAGCCCAAATGTCAAATGAATGAAAAGTGGCTTCAGCTCAGCTCCATTAAGGCCACACCCCTGACACATTTCACCCTGCTCCCAGGTCTTAGTTATTGAGGACCTTCATGCCTAAGGTGGGGTGAAACATGTTGGGGGTCGAGGCCTGGATTTCCATTAGTTTGACATTTGGGCTTGGCTGGAGTGTGGTGTTCCTCTCTTCCTTCTCCATTGATGGTGTACTTTTTCCAAGTATCTTTAAAATACTTTTGTGTCCTAAACTTCATAATAACCCAAAACATTACCAAAGAAACATGGCATTTCAGAATAGTCTGGCAAAGTTTCTTGGTTTTTTTTTTTCCGCTTGAGTATAAAAATACCCCTAGGCTTCAGTAGACTAATAGTAGGCTTCTGTTCTTTATTCACAGAGCGAGTAACACAGACTGTGGAGATTGTGAAGCAGACGGTGGACATTCAGGAGAAGGGTGTTCGATTACGGCTGACAGTTGTGGACACACCAGGTTTTGGAGATGCTATAAATAATGAGGAATGGTGTGTTTATCAATACACATGGGATATATTATTGAAAGACTGCTGCAGATATGGCTCTTACCAGTCAGATGGAGCTGGACACTTGGCTGACCCCTTCTTGTTGACTGGAAAAACAACAGGAACACAGAGATAGTAATTACATCATAACCAAGTAGTTCTACTATACATTAAACCAATGTAAACATAACACTATCACCAAGTAGCAGAATTAGTAATCACAGTATAATATGAGAATATTTGTTGTACCTGTCTATATAAACAGCATGCTAACATGCACTATATTGCCAAAAGTATTGGGCCAGCCCTCCAAATAATTGGATTCAGACATTCCAATCACCTCCATGGCCACAGGTGTATAAAATCAAGCACCTAGGCATGCAGACTGCTTCTACAAACGTTTGCGAAAGAATGGGTCGCTCTCAGGAGCGCATTGATTTCAAGCGTGGTCCGTGAAATTTCCTTGCTACTAAACATTCCACGGTCAACTGTTAGTGGTATTATAACAAAGTGGAAGCAATTGGGAATAACAACAACTCAGCCACGATGTGGTAGGGTGCGTACAATGACAGAATGGGGTCAGCACATGTTAAAGAGCACAGTGCGCAGAAGTCGCCAAATATCAGCAATCTGAGTCAATAGCTAAAGACCTCCAAACTTCATGTGGCCTTCAGATTAGCACAACAACAGTGTATATAAAGCTTCATGGAATGGGTTTCATGGCTGAGCAGATGCATTCAAGCCTTGCATCACCAAGTGCAATGCAAAGCGTCGGATGCAGTGGTGTAAGGTATGCCGCCACTGGACTCCAGAGCAGTGGAGACGTGTCTTCTGGAGTGACAAATCACACTATTGTGTCTGGCAATCCGATGGACGTGTTCAGGGGCGGACTGACCATTTGGAAACTCGGGCACTGCCCAAGGGCCCGGGGTCAGTAGGGGGCCCCATGAGATGCCCCTGGTACCTTTTTCATAGGCTTTTTTGAGTTTGGGCAAGGACACAGGGGCCCCATGATCCCCTTTTGCCTGCAGGCCCCATGATCCCCTTTTGCCTGCAGGCCCCATGAGTTGTCAGTCTGCCCCTGGATGTGTCTGGGTTTGGCAGTTGCCAGGAGAATGGTACTTGCCTGACTGCACTGTGCCAAGTGTAAAGTTTGGTGGAGGGGGGATTATGGTGTGGGGGATGTTTTTCAGGGGGTGGGCTTGGCCCCTTATTTCCAGTGAAGGGAACTCTTAAGGCATCAGCATACCAAGACATTTTGGACAATTTCATGCTCCCAGATTTGTGGGAACAATTTGGGGATGGGGATGGTCCCTTCCTGTTCCAACATGACTGCACACCACTGCACAAAGCAAAGTACATGAAGACATGAATGAGTGAGTTTGGGATGGAGGAACATGACTGGCTTGCACCTCAACCCAATGGAACACATTTGGGATAAATTGGAGCGGAGACTGCGAGCCAGGCCTTATCATCCGACATCAGTGCCTGACCTCACAAATGCACTTCTGGAAGAATGGTCAAACATTCCCATAGACACATTCCTAAACCTTGTGGACAGCCTTCCCAGAAGAGTTGAAGCTGTTATAGCTGCAAAGGGTGGGCCAACTCAATATTGAACCCTACGGACTAAGACTGGGATGCCATTAAAGTTCATGTGCGTGTAAAGGCAGACGTCCTAATACTTTTGGCAATATAGTGAGTGTACTGTGCGCTCTGTATTACATAAAATGCATTAAATGTAACAGTAAAAGACAAGTATAACAATTTATGATACTTAGGTTTGCCTGCATAGACAAAAGGTATTAAAAGAAGCTATACCAAGAGAAATGCAGAGCTAACCTCTTTCTGAAAATACTACTTAACTACTGGTCATTAAGACACTAGAAGAAGTCTGCATATAAGATAGAGTGAAACTCCTGATCTGTATATTTTTACACGGTCAGTGACTGAGAAAGTAGTGAAGCCTTTGGATCAGTATGACAGCCAAGGAATAATAGTTTCAGATGAGAAGTTGGTAATGGCAGTCTCTGGCCTTTTTATATTTTTCACAATGTTAGTATAGTTAGAACCATGAAAGAAGATTGCTATCAATAATGGTGCTTTGTGTGTTAAAGGAGAAGTATGGTCAAAGCTCTTTTGGCCATACTTCTCATATGGATCACAGAAAGCTCTTAGTTCTCCACTCCTGTGACCCATATTCATCCGACAGCTGGCTAATTATTATTATTCCCATATTTCTCTTTTAATCTATTCCTTATTAGGTAAAAGGCAAAAGGGTTGATTTACTAAAACTGGAGATTGCAAAATCTGGTGCCGCTGTGAATGGTAGTCAATCAGCTTCCAACTTCAGTTTGTTCAATTAAGCTTTGACAAAAAAAAATGGAAGTTGATTGCTTTCTGTGCAGAGCTGCACCAGATTTTGCAGTCTCTGATTTTATTAAGTCAACCCAAAAGTGTTACACGAGTGCCTTTTGAAAGCAGTTTTTAATATTTATTATTGTTATATGTATTTATCATTATTTACTGTGGCTAGGCTAAGGCTGGCCATAGAAGCCTTGATTTTTATTTTTTTTCAATCAGCCAGAGGGCTGAAGTGTTGATGTCCCAATATTTATGGACCTGACTGTATAGAGTGATATGTTCTTTCTATGGCGTTAAATGCTCCATCTATGATGTTATATGCTGCTTCTATGGAGGGGCATGCTTCTTCTATGGAGTGGTATGCTACATCTATAGAGTGATATGTTCTTTCTATGGAGTTAAATGCTCCCTCTATGACATTATATGATGCTTCTATTGAGGGGCATGCTCTTTCTTTGGAGGGGCATGCTCTTTCTTTGGAGGGGCTTGCTCCTTTTATGGAGTGGTATGCTACTTCTATGGAATGATATGTGCTTTCTATGAAATGATATGCTCCTTGTATGGAGTGGTATGCTCCTTGTAAGGAGTAGTATGCTCTTCTATATAACATAATGGAAGGATCATTTTACTCTATAAGCTACTTCTATGTAGTAATATACTCCATCTATGGTGTTATATTCTCTTTCTATGGAGTGGTATGGTCCATCTATGATGTGATATGTTCCGTCTGTGGAATGGTTTACTTCTTCAGTGAAGTGGTGTACTCCAACTATGAAGTAATATGTTTCTTCATTAGTTCCTGAACTTCCTTCTTTAAAAATTTTGTATCGAAAGTGATAAAACAATGGGTTATTTTTCTAAACCTTTATGTTTGTGTTAGCAAAAACATTGAGAACAAGTTCTAAACTGTTTTCTTTATGTTGTTTAGCTGGAAGCCTGTCGCTGATTATATTGACCAACAATTTGAGCAATACTTTAGAGATGAGAGTGGACTAAACCGCAAGAATCTCCAGGATACACGAGTACATTGCTGTTTGTATTTTCTGTCTCCACTCGGACATGGGTATATCTATCGTTATTTATCACAAATATACATTTTTTGTGTAGCTATGGACAGGTATTTGCTTTAAGAGATGCACCAGTTATAAACATGCAGTAGATGCAGCAATTTTATTTTGCTGATCCAAATGCTTGGATTGTTATTACTTTTAGGCACGTATTTTTTTCGGGAAATTTCTCTGTAATGGATGAATTATATTTTAGCACATTAAATTTTAATATCGCTTGTATTATCAGTAGTTTTTTTTTTAGCATGATAGTATTCCTTTTGGGCCATTTAATTTTTAGGGGTTAGGCTATGGTTAGGTTCAGGGCTTAGCATAAATTGAACCTGTGCTTGGCCTATGTAGGGCAAAGTAACAGGTTCAGTTAACTTCTATCCAGCAACACATACTCACCTTAGCAGGATGGGGAAAGGTCACGTGCCCTACTCAGACCCAAAAGTACCAAGTATGCCTCTTTGCTGGCAGTACCTGAACAGGGTGGAAGGGAGGAGGAAAGGGAAAGGTGGGAGCCTACTGCCAGGGTGTGAATGAATAAAAAATTTGACCTTGACTGCATTCAGTCACATGACATATTAAAGCTACGATGGAAATCTGTGCTGGGAAGCTTCCCCCTGGCAGACACTGTGATTGCAGGTCTGAACAGAAAGCAGGTAGCTATATAATGGCCAGCATATATCATTGACTGCAGTTCCCGTTTGATGTCTGATAAATTTTGGAAAACTATTTTCACTTCACAATGTTTTTTGTTAGTGCTGGCCAGTCCTCCCCTGAATAAACTGAACCTGGTACTTTGCCCTACATGGACAAGACACACAGTTCACCTTTAAATTTATTTTCATCATGGTTAAATTATAGGTGTTAGGTTAAGATTACGTTAATTCTCTGAATGCAGTAGAGTTTGGCTTTGGCACAACAATTTAAATTTTGGTGCTGTTTCTTTTTTTTTCTCTTTTGGCATCAGACTGTTATTTGACTACTTTGTGTCCAAGTGCTTGTACCCAAAAATGTCAATCTCAAATCACCACAGTGAAACACTACCAAATACTCAAAACTGCAGACTTTCCATTCTTCTAGTAATCTCTATGTAGAATCGTGCTGCACCATGCTGCATCAATCAATAAACAAATTGAGCAGCATAGTGTACTTCATGGAAAGTGTCCCATACAATAACTAAATCTTAATGAATATAGTGTATTTGTGGCACATAATCATTGTTTATAGCAATAATGCAGTTGATCCAGCTTTTTCATATTTGTTCGTGTATGACCTTGTATTTCAAATTATGCTTTGATAAATCTGTGTGTGCGCACATTGCAAATATTTTTACTAAAGACTAATATTGTATTTTTGCAGTTTGCGACCTCTAGATGTAGAGTTCCTACGAGCACTACAGGACCGGGTGAACATTGTGCCAATTTTGGGGAAGGCAGACACTCTGACACCTAAAGAGCTTATACTGAAAAAAACAAAGGGTAATAAAGTGCACACACACACATATATATTATATTTATATATACACTATATTGCTAAAAGTATTAGGACACCCCTCCGAATCATTGGATTCAGGTGTTCCAATGACCTTCATAGCCACAGATGTATAAAATCAAGCACCTAGGCATGCAGACTGCTTCTACAAACATTTGTGAAAGAATGGGTCACTCTCAGAAGCTCAGTGAATTCAAGTGTGATACCGTGATATATATATATATATATATAATATATATATATATATATATATATATATACTATATATATATATATACTATATTACCAAAAGAATTGGGACGCCTGCCTCTACACACACAGGAATTTTAATGGCATTCCCAGTCTTAGTCCGTAGGGTTCAGTATTGAGTTGGCCCACCCTTTGCAGCGATAACAGCTTCAACTCTTCTGGGAAGGCTGTCTACAAGGTTTAGGAGTGTGTTTATGGGAATGTTTGACCATTCCTCCAGAAGCGTATTTGTGAGGTCAGCCACTGATGTCAGACAAGAAGGCCTGGCTTGCAGTCTCCACTCTAATTCATCCCAAAGGTGTTCTCTTGGGTTGAGGTCAGGACTCTGTGCATGCCAGTCAAGTTCCTCCACCCAAAACATGCTCATCCATGTATTTATGGACCTTGCTTTGTGCACTGGTGCGCAGTCATGTTAGAACAGGAAGGGGCCATCCCCAAACTGTTCCCACAAAGTTGGGAGCATGAAATTGTTCAAAATATCTTAGTATGCTGGGCCTTAAGAGTTCCCTTCACTGGATCTAAGGTGCCAGGCCCAATCACTGAAAAACAACCCCACACCATAGTCCCCCCTCCCACCAAACTTCACACTTGGCACAATGCAGGCAGACAAGTTTACATTCTCTAACCGCCAAACCCACGCATTAGCATTGCCACAGAGAAACATGATTCATCACTCCAGAGAACACATCTCCAATGCTCTAGAGTCCAGTGGCGGCGTGTTTTACACCACTACATCCGACGCTTTGCATTGCACTCGGTGATGTAAGGCTTGGGTGCAGCTGCTCGGCCATGGAAACCCATTCCATGAAGCTCTCTATGCACTGTTGTTGTGCTAATCTGAAGGCCACATGAAGTTTGAAGGTCTTTAGCTATTGACTCTGCAGAAAGATGGCGACTTCTGTGCACTGTGCGCTTCAGCATGAGCTGACCCCGCTCTGTCATTTTACATGGCCTACCAGTTCATGGCTGAGTTGCTGTTGTACACAGTTGCTTCTACTTTGTTATCATACCACTAACAGTTGACTGTGGAATATTTAGTTGCAAGGAAATTTTACGAATGGACCTTTTGCACAGGTGGCAACCTATCATGGTACCATGCTTGAATTCACTGAGATCCTGAGGGTGACCCATTCTTTCACAAATGTTTGTAGAAGCATATTATGGATTGAGAACATTTTGCTTTGGGGCGAACACAACCCATAAGCTCAATTAAAGTAGGCATGGATTTCTGTAGGCTAAATAAAGTTTAGCTCAAGGGCTAAAAAAAGAACATTTTGCATCACTTGAAAAATAAAACAGCCCCTAACAAGTGGACCTACTTTTGGCTCGCTGTGTTCTGTTTTCTGCATTGATGATAAGACATCATATCACTAATACTCAGTGGGGTCTGACTGCGTGGCATTTACTTCTCATTATCTCAGTTAACACCACAGGATTATCATTCTCTGCATGTGTTTTAACAAGAAATCAGTTAATGGAATTACTATCACTTATTTATAAAGAGCATTTTCTGCAGTGCTGTACATCAAGGTTACAAGAAACACTAAATATGATAAAACAATTGAGATACAGATGAAGCAGAATCAGAACTAGAGCACAACTAAACACCCAGTTGATCACCATCTAATTTTGTTGATTTAGGTAGTTTTGGGCAATGAGAAGCACACAGAACACTGTGGACCAAACAACAATGTGCCAGTGCTATAGCTCTATTTAAATAGCCCATTTGGTGCCAGTATTGGTGACAGGTGTATGACTAGGTGTGCATGCACATTTGTACATATCTGTGTCACATCTGTCCAGCCAGTTGCCAGCCTGCACATGCGCACACATATGTGCTTGGAAACTCCATCTGCACTATGGGCAAGCCTTCCCTGACAGCTATGAAAGAAATATTAATAACAATGACCAGTAAACAAATAAAGACAATGAAAATTGCTGTTTCTGCACAAATCTCATCTTTCCCTACATGTTTGGCATAGGTTTTCTTTGTGGACAAACTATTATATACCAGAGTTTCATTAACTTTAAAGTTAGCCTCTTTGGTCAAAAGTATGAGATTTGCCATTGCTGACTTGATTTTAAAGGTTCTGTCACCCTGATCCCAGCTTCACTGGTGAGTTATTCAGACATTTGGCTTCAAAACTCTTGACCTGTTTTTTTTGTGTATTTTGTTTTTTTTACTTATTTCTTCACTAAGTAGTAAAGCAAGGATGAGGACAATAGCCTTCAAGCCTGCACCTTTAAAATGTGTCAAAAGTGTCAGCTCCCATATTTACAGTGTGTTTACTGATTCCCTTGAGGAAACAGTATCAGAAGGTTTCTAAAACTTTGTTTTTCTTCTTTTCTCAGATACGGGAGGAGTTGGATTATTTTGGCATTCAAATCTATCAGTTTCCTGATTGTGACTCAGATCAAGATGAAGATTTTAAGATTCAGGATATGGAGCTAAAGGTAATGACAAATAGACAATATGATGACAATAGATATAGAATGGTGCTAGGACAGACATCAACTGGGTTGTAGTAAAAACAAGTGTTGCATTATTTTGTTGTGTTGCCACTTGGGTTTTATGTAACTTTTAGTCACATGGTCTGGAATCGTAATATTGTTGTGATGCTGGAGCCTGCATAGCCAAATCTGAGCTCCAGGCATATAGTTAAAGTGGAGTTCAACTCAAAAGTGGAAGCTCTGCTTATTTGCCTCCTCCCCCCCTCCACTGCCATATTTAGCACCTTTTGGGGGATAGCAGGTACCTAGTTTTGACAGGTACCTGCTCCCACTTCAAGCTCAGCGAAGTGAGCTGGAAGTTTGGCCCCCTCCTCCCTCCTGGGAACTTTCACAGGTCCCAGGAGATTGCCGGACCAATCAGGAGGCGCAGTGCGACTCATGTATACGCAGTGGGCACCCAGCTGTGAAGCTGTCACAGCCTGGTGCCCACAGTTGAGATGTCGGCGCCATGGAGGAAAGAAGGGAAGAAGGGATTGCGCGGGTGAGAACATCGCTGGACTCTGGGACAGGTAAGTGTGTGTTTATTAAAATTAAACAGTTTTTGTAGCTGCTGACTTATAACCACTTCAATACCATGCACTTTTACCCCCTTCCTGCCAAGGCCAATTTTCAGCTTTCAGCGCTGTTGCACTTTGAATGACAATTGCTCGGTCATGCAACACTGTATCCATATGAAATTTTTATCATTTTTTTCACACAAATAGTGCTTTCTTTTAGTGGTATTTAATCACCACTGAGTTTTTTAATTTTTGCTAAATAAAACAAAAAAAACCTGAAATGCACTTTTCTTCGTTTCTGTTATAAAATTTTGCAAATAAATACCGTTTCTTCATAAATTTAGGTCAAAATGTATTTTGCTACATTTATTTGGTGAAAATAATAATAATAATTAAATTTGTACTTTTTTTTTTCAAATGTTTCTATAATTTTTTTATTTTTTATAAAAATTGTTCTTTTTTTACTATTTTTATTTTTCAGCACACTGTGACCAAACCAATACAGTGTTACCATAGTAACATTGAACTACTCTGGGCAAGTGATCGGGATTTTTTTTTAACACATTATGATTGCTAATACCAATGTACTTCATTAATATTTGCAATCATTGTTACTGAATGAAACTGATTAATTCAGTCTTTTGCTGTGATTGGGCAAAGCTGATCAGATAATTCAGATGGGCTGTGATTGGCCCTGTCTGTATCATGTGACTGCCTTGACCAGTCACAGCTAACCACATAATTGTATACAATGGATGGCATGACAGGAAGCCATCCATTGTATACAATTGACATGTGATCTGCTGTGATTGGTCACAGTGGTCACATGACACTGGCAACGGGCCGGTGATATGTCATTGGTTGTGTCCCATGGCTTGTTTTGACAGGACGTCATATGACGCCCAGTCTCAACGGCGAGTGTCCCACCTGACCGTCACTCTGCTATTGGCCGGGCGGGAAGGTGTTAACACAAAAACGGCTGAAACTCCACTTTAAAGTGTTACTAAACCCAGGACCCTGCATTCACTAGATCTGGTCTCCCACAGTACACAGAACATGGAAATGCAATTATTCTAGTAAATAGAAACTACTAAATACCTTTTTCTCATCAGTAGTATATAGCAGTCTTGTGACTTCTATCAGTGTTTGGCCGAGCACTGGTTAAAGCTTATAAGAGGAGTTTTCATTCTCCCCTGATTTTCCTGTGAGGCTGCATAACCCCTGACCCTCTGTCTAAACAACACTGATTGGCCCTGTGCTGATCACATGCACCCTCCTAAGAAAAAAAAAAAACTCCCTAGCAATACACACCAAACTGAGCATATGCAGCTTGCCCCCAAGGTTCTGTTCTATCAGCAGATGGATTGGGGACAGTAGAAGAAGGGGAGGATCAGAGAAGGATCAAACAGCCTTTTTACACAATGCTGAGGATTAACCCCTTAGGTTCCACAGTGAGTATAACAAGCATGCTTTACTGCATACGCAGACTGATTTTACTGTTGTGGGTTTAGTAACACTTTAAATGCACATATGCAAACTGTCCTGTTTTCAAAGTAATTGCAATTATGCTTAATAATAGATGCTGTCACCGTAACCAAAACACAACTTATAGAAAAAGAATTGCCCAAAAGGTGGGCCAAAAAAAGTAGTTACTTATGGTGGCAGATATCAAGTGAGCTGGAACTACTAAAGAATCAATCCTTAATACCAAATACTTTAAAACATCGGGTTTATTGATATTATTACTTTGTTTGAAAATGTAGTTACGGTGTGGACTGAGACAACTTACATCGTGAGTTCACTTTGTGTAGACAACATGAATGCACAACACAGACATGACATTCAAAAAATAATAAAAATTAAAAACCACGTCCAGACGCTTGTTTGTGTACTCATATACATAGGGATACCGCAGCAAATTGCTGCCTAAGGATAATATCCATGAGAATCAAGGTAGCCTTTGTATATCAGTCTAAGATCCCATAAGGCCTAAAACCATAAAGGTGCATAAATTCAAAGCTCCATAAGCATCAATTAGCATAAGGACAATATTGTTATGGGCTGGGCCCTAAATGAATTGGTGAGGCATGATGGTAAACTGATGTTCAATAGAGGGTTGAATCCCATTCAATAAATATACAGACCTCCAGTTAGACCAAATGTTTCCATTATCCGTTGACTGATAGTAAAAGTCACATTAAGCATGAAAAAGGAGTTCAAAGGACGTACTATGAATAGAGTGGAGGTAGAGGCATAGGCTGCAGCAACAGAAAATATATATATATGTGTTTAAAGGAGAGCGTGGTTTCAAATATAGGGAATGCTGTTTGCACTGGAATTTTTGCTCCAATTTTTTCTGGTCACTTGGACCTATATTGTAGAGAGGAGGAATATAGTCCCAGTGTTTCCAATTATGTGTAACTCTGTAAGGTGCGGCTCATACATTACCACCACTTCACTGCCACTCCACTCATCCTGTTGTCGCTTCGGATCATAGAGTAAGGTGAATGCTGCCGTAGACCAACTTTACTGGCAAAATATGACTCCGTCAGTTGGAATCACTGCTGCTGCTAGCTGGGCCATGTGAATGCCGTACCCCCCCCCCCGGTGCTTAAGGTTCGGTAACTGGGTGCCGCCAAAGCGGCAGTGGGCGCCGACTCAGTAGATTAGAAAGATGGCATCGTTGGGCATGCGTATAATGACAACGCGTATCGCTGCATTATAGCGTACCTTCGTCAGTATTAAACATAAAGCTGCTTTTTTTTCCATATCAAACCTGCTGGGAAATACATTTTCAATTAGAACAATGGAAATGGGTTTTAACCATATATGCCACAGGCTCAAATCACAAAGTTCACACACCAGGGTAAAGATCCTTACTTTCATAAAAGTAAAAGAAATTTTGAAATTTGCAATAACATGGCAAAAATAAAGATACATATCCATGTGCTAGGGCAGTGATGGCGAACCTATGGCACGCGTGCCAGAGCTGGCACGCAGAGCCATCTCAGTGGGCACGCCAGGAAGAAGAGCATGATGAGCGCGCATGGACCGGCCATCCAGATCTCGTCCACACTGGACCCCCATCAAACTACATTTCCCACATGTCTCTGGGGCCAGGGTGGGCGTGGACGAGAGGAAACGGCTCCAACGCGGCTCTGGCACCAGGGGTGATGTACCCGGGGATTGGCGCGGAAGAGAGGAAGAGGCTCCCACACTGCTCCCACACTGCTCCGGGGCCAGGGGCAACGTGTTCAGAGTGGATGGGAATGAGCTGCTGGGTTGGAAGCCACACCGACGCTGCCAGAGGTGAGATTAACTGCTTGCAGTGTCACCTGTCAGTGCCCAGCAGTGTCGCCTGTCAGTGCCCAGCAGTGTCGCCCATCAGTGCTGCCCATCAGTGCCATCCATCAATGATGCCCAGCAGTGCCATCCATCAGTGCCCAGCAGTGTCGCCTGTCAGTGCTGCCCAGCAGTGCCACCTGTCAGTGCTGCCCAGCAGTGCCACATGTCAGTGCCCAGCAGTATCGCCCATCAGTGCTGCCCATCAGTGCCACCCATCAATGATGCCCAGCAGTGCCATCCATCAGTGCCCAGCAGTGTCACCCATCAGTGCCCAGCAGTGTCGCCTGTCAGTGCTGCCCAGCAGTGCCACCTGTCAGTGCCCAGCAGTATCGCCCATCAGTGCTGCCCATCAGTGCCACCCATCAATGATGCCCAGCAGTGTCACCCATCAGTGCCCAGCAGTGTCACCCATCAGTGCCCAGCAGTGTCGCCTGTCAGTGCTGCCCAGCAGTGCCACCTGTCAGTGCTGCCCAGCAGTGCCACCTGTCAGTGCCCAGCAGTGTCGCCCATCAGTGCTGCCCATCAGTGCCACCCATCAATGATGCCCAGCAGTGTCATCCATCAGTGCCCAGCAGTGTCACCCATCAGTGCCCAGCAGTGTCACCCATCAGTGCCCAGCAGTGTCGCCTGTCAGCGCTGCCCAGCAGTGCCACCTGTCAGTGCTGCCCAGCAGTGCCACCTGTCAGTGCCCAGCAGTGTCGCCCATCAGTGTTGCCCATCAGTGCGACCCATCAATGATGCCCAGCAGTGCCACCGATCAGTGCCGTCTGTCAGTGCGTCCAGGTAGGCAAGTGGTTAATTGCAGTGTTGGCACTTTGAAATAAAAAAGTTGGTTTGTGTTGCAGTTTTGGGCACTCGGGCTCAAAAAGGTTCGCCATCACTGTGCTAGGGCATTGTGAAATGAGTGTGAACAGTTTTCAATACAGGATTATCTACATCCAACTTTTCAGTGCCTTCCCGTACATTGATTTTCCAGAATCTATACTATCTAAAAATCTTGTAAGGGACTACAAACATTCTTTAGAGAAAGACCAAAGCATTGTACAAGTCATAATTTCTATTTTGTTTTTCTTTGCATTGTTTTCTGAATAGAAACCCTAATTTTTCTGTAGCTCGTTTTGATGTACACAGTTTTGTTTACTCCAGATACGGGGAAAATCTAGGAGTTATTTATCTGGACAAATGTAGTGAAAGGTTGCTCTGTGCAGATAGGTGCAGTTACTGATCACTGTGATAAAGGTAACATGTTGATTATTTACTTACATCCTATGATATCCCTATTAAACTAGAAAAAAAGAGAGGAATGTTCATATGTTTTACTAGATTTTTTTTTCCAGAAAAGCATTCCATTTGCTGTGATTGGCTCTAACACCGTTGTGGAAGTTAATGGGAAACGTGTGAGAGGTCGACTGTACCCATGGGGTGTTGTAGAAGGTAAACATTTGTACGCATGCTTGCTTCTGTTTGTCTAATCCTACAATTTGCATTCTTGTTGTAGCCAACAATTCTGACCACACTAACATACAGAAAGACATTAGTGAGGGAACCTAAAAATGATATATTGTCCTAAAAATATTCTAATAATAATATTGTACTGCCAGGGGCGGACTGACCATTTAGGAACTGTGTATTGTGTATATAGTGTGTGTTTGTGTATATAAGGTGTGTATTTGTGTATATACTGTATGTGTGTTTGTATACTGTATATAATGTGTGTTTGTGTATATACTGTATGTGTGTTTGTATACTGTATATAAGGTGTGTGTGTTTGTGTATATACTGTATGTGTATATATACTGTATATAAAGTGTGTGTTTGTGTATATACTGTATGTGTGTTTGTAACTGTATATAAAGTGTGTGTTTGTGTATATATACTGTATGTGTGTTTGTATACTGTATACTGTATAAAGTGTGTGTTTGTGTATATACTGTATGTGTGTTTTTATACTGTATATAAAGTGTGTGTTTTGTGTATATACTGTATGTGTGTTTGTATACTGTATATAAAGTGTGTGTTTGTGTATATACTGTATGTGTGTTTGTATACTGTATATAAAGTGTGTGTTTGTGTATATACTGTATGTGTGTTTGTATATACTGTATATAAAGTGTGTGTTTGTGTATATACTGTATGTGTGTTTGTATACTGTATATAAAGTGTGTGTTTGTGTATATACTGTATGTGTGTTTTTATACTGTATATAAAGTGTGTGTTTGTGTATATACTGTATGTGTGTTTTGTATACTGTATATAAAGTGTGTGTTTGTGTATATACTGTATGTGTGTTTGTATACTGTATATAAAGTGTGTGTTTGTGTATATACTGTATGTGTGTTTTTATACTGTATATAAAGTGTGTGTTTATGTATATAACTGTATGTGTGTTTGTATACTGTATATAAAGTGTGTGTTTGTGTATATACTGTATGTGTGTTTGTATACTGTATATAAAGCGTGTGTTTGTCTCTGTGTGCATATATAGTGTGTGTGTGTGTGTATATATATATATATATATATACTGTATGTGTGTATACTGTATATACAGTGTGTTTGTGTATATATACTGTATGTATGTTTGTACACTGTATATAAAGTGTGTGTGTATATATATACTGTATGTATGTTTGTACACTGTATAAAAAAGTGTGTGTGTATATACTGTATGTATGTTTGTATACTGTATATAAAGTGTGTGTTTTTGTGTGTGTATATATACTGTATGCAGGGGCAGACTGACCATTGGAGCACTCGGGCACTGCCCGAGGGCCCGGGGTCAGTAGGGTGCCCCATGAAGTGCCCCTGGTACCTTTTTTATAGGCTTTTTTGAGTGTGGCCAAGGACACAGGGACCCCATGATCCCCTATTGCCCGGGGGCCCCATGAGTTGTCAGTCCGCCCCTGACTGTATATGTGTTTGAATACTGTATGATCCACGTGTGCCCACTGTCAATCAACAGAAGTCGATCTACTGATTGATTTCTGTTGAAAAGGCATGTTAGAAAAAAGCCACTCGATTTGTTGCCAACTGTTCATACATGTCCATAGACAGGAGAAATATGCCCATAAAAAAACACTTGATCTCATTCTGAGCCAGCTGAATGGTGAACTGCTAAGCTTGGCCACTGATCTGGCAGCAGGGCAGGTCTGGGTGTTCACCTCTGTGATGACATCATGGCACCCATCAAACATAGCTTTTGTTCACATGCCCCACTGCCTGATTCGAGGCTGAGCATGGCAATTCACCATTCAGCTGGCTCCACAATTGCACATGTGCAGTTCAGAGTCAGCAACAAGTGGATTGTTTTTAAAAGCCTTTTACTGCCAACCACCTGCTACACCAAGGACCAAGGGGAAAAGGCGTGTGTAAGGTGGCACTGTGGGGCTCTGCTGCAAGGTGTCTCTCTGATGTAAGATGGGACACTGATGTAAGGGGGGACTCTGGGGGCTCTGCTGTAAGGTGGCACTGTGGGGGCTCTGCTGCAAGGTGTCTCTCTGATGTAAGATGGGACACTGATGTAAGGGGGACTCTGGGGGCTCTGCTGTAAGGTGGCACTGTGGGGGCTCTGCTGAAGGTGTCTCTCTGATGTAGGGGGCACTGATGTAAGGGGGGACTCTGGGGGCTCTGCTGTAAGGTGGCACTGTGGGGGCTGCACTGCAAGGTTGCACTCTGGGGGTGCTGCAAAGTGGCATTCTGGGGACTCTGATGTAAGGGGGACTCTGCGGGCTGTGATGTATAGGGAAAATTCTGAGGAGTTTGATGTAAGGGAGGACTCTGATGTGAGCATGGCACACATCCTGACTGCTGCACTCTATACATTATACTTTACATAGAACTGATGAAGTTCTTCTGTAAGGTGGGATCAGTAAGACAGAAAGATCCTATTTTTTTGTGCATAAAAACGTACCATGGAAATGTTTATTATAAAAACAAATGATCCTTTGAGATTTATTTGTGTCTGTGAGACTGTCAGTTGTCATACAGTAATTAGTATTTTGTGGATAAAAGGCCTGTGGTATATGTGTTCAGTGTATACAGCAAACAGATTCTGTTCAGTCCTCCTTTAAGATTCCTCCATTAACTATGCCCATTGTTCGCCATGGCGCTCTATGCGTGCTTCAGGCATCATCTCCTTGGTAGGGGCCCCAGAGCATTACTTTTCCCAGGGGTCCATGATGCTGTTAAGGTGGCAATGCCCATGAGAGGCTCCTGGTCCCTTTATTGAGTCGCCAGCTTTAAGTCTCCTGCCACTCTGCATGTCACCAAGCTTGGTGCCCCTCCTTGCAGACCTGCTGCATTAATGTTGCTTCACAAGAATGGCTGCTGCATGGTGGCCATCTTTAAAACTGGGGCCCCATGATTTCCTATTGCTCGGGGGCCCCATGAGTTATCAATCCGCCCCTGTGTACTGCACAATTGGACAAACCCCAGGAGCTGTGTAAATCAAGTGCCTAAAAATTTACAGCTGAAATACAGCCCTTTCAATTTCTTTTCTGTTACTGTCAATGGAAGTTTGCTGACTCCTAGAGTTAACTGAATGACTCCTGAATTCTTTATGAATTTGTCTACTTCTGTTTTATTTGCAGGTTGACGGTATTATCCTCCAATGCTCCCTCTTATCTAACCAACTGTTGTCTTTTGTAGTGGAGAATGAGAAGCACTGTGATTTTGTCAAGCTGCGGACCATGCTGATTCGAACTCACATGCAGGATCTGAAAGATGTGACCCGAGAGACCCACTATGAAAATTACCGGGCTCAGTGTATCCAAAGCCTGACTCAGCGGGTGGTCAGGGAAAGAAACCGCAAGTATGGACAGGGGAAATTTACATTTGTATTTCATGCTTATTGTCATTAGTTTTAATTATCATGGCATTCTAAAGTCTAGGAATACTATCTAAAAGTTCTTAAAGTGGCTGATTCGTTCTCTATATAATGCACAAGTTTGCCTAGTCTGTGGTAGATTGTTAATGTGCTAATAAAATAAGGTAAAGTTCCAATTGATGTGTTCTGACCTCCTACAGGTACTGTAAAGAGCTCCTTCTCCAGGCAGAGTAAATCTTTATTGCACAGGGAGAATGTTCAATGTGTGCTATTGTCAACATTACTATAATATCAGAGTAGGACGCACAGAAACTCTGAGCATGAGCAGTTATTTCCCCTGTACTTCATTCTTGAGTTAGGAGGAGCTCAAGGTTCCTTCTGAACACAAGAGGTCCAGGCCATATGTGTTCAATGATGTCACCCAAAAACCCCCCATCTTTTGTTAAGTTTTATGGTGGGGCCCTGGGAGATGTTGTTTGGCATAAGTGCCCAGATCAAACATGTCCATCAGATGGTGTTTTTTCTTCTTTCGGTGGACATTGTTCATTGTGATTGATGTGGATTTGCATCACCGAACAATGTGATTCTCGATGGATTACATTGTGGGACATAAAGTTTTTCCTTTTTTTCAAGGACTGTGTAGGTGACATGATCTACTGTTTGATTTTTTTTTGTGTAAATGATTATTAACATGGGGAATTGGATTCTGCCCCCCTACTGTTGAAAGGGGCTTCCAACTTCCAATAAGTCCGCTACCCACAGACCCCCAAAACCACCAGACCAGGGTTGTGGGGAAGAGGCACATCAACATGGTTCCCTCTGGCAATATGTTTCCCATCATGTTGAGGCATATGGCCTGGTATTGTTCAGTAGGTGGGGTTCAAGCTCAACTCACCTCCCTGGTCTGCCAGGCTGCAGGGGGCTGGTAAATATTTTTGGAGAGGACCTCATACTTTTTTCTTGTTTGTGCAGGGTTTCCCTTAAAATCCATACCAGACCCTTATGAAGAATATGAGTCTAGTATGTAGTCATTTTTTGGGAGGTAATCCCACACCTTTTTGTGTTTGGGCCCCCCATTAATATCCATATCACTCCCTCATCTAGGATAAGGGTCTGGTATAGATGAAGGCCTTTTGCTTACAAACAGGAGTAAAGTGGCCAAAGCTGTCATTTGCCAGCAACTTCAACAACATTTTCTTCTTTGTAGGTGTCAGTTTTGCTGTAGTAGATTATATAAATTGTACAGATATGCCACTTCACCGACAGGTTAAGGGCACTCCTCACACATCTAAATTAATTTAGCATTTTCAATGTTGATATTAAAATCACTGCTCCACTGTAAACTAAATGTAATTTTAAATTTTTTTGTCCAGCCCCCATGTAATTTGTTTGAAAATGGTCATTACTGTTTTTTTTTTTTTCCATTCAACTCCCGTTAACTTCAGTGGCGTTCAGAACCAGCATCAAAACTGTACTGTTCACCCAGCCCACCTCAAATCAAACCCAGGGATGTTTGACCCATCCAAAATATTCTGTGGGCATCCTATGGAAACTTTTTGGTGTCTACAGATCCCCTTACATGATCATGGAAAAAACTGTATTGGTTGGGTTGGACATTCACAACTATTCGTTACCTTTGTTTTTAAATAAAACCAATGCATAGGTATACAGTTGAAAGAAAAAGTATGTGAACCCCTTGGGATTATGTGGAGTTTTGCATGAATTGGGCAAAAAAAGTGCTCTGAACGTCATCTAAGTCACAACAATAGAAGAACACAGTCTGCTGAACATAATACTACACAAACATCAGATGTTGCCATGGTTTAATTACACATAACATGTAAACATTCACAGTGCAGGGAGGAAAAAGTATGTGAACCTTTGGACTTAATAACTGGTTGACCCTCATTTGGCAGCAATAACCTCAACCAAACGTTTCCTGTAGTTCCAGATCAGACCTGCACAACGATCTGGAGTAATTTTGGACCACTCCTCTTCACAAAACTGTTTCAGTGTAGCAATATTCTTGGGATGTCTGGTGTGAATCGCTCTCTTAAACTCATGCCACAGCATTTCAATTGGGTTGAGGTCAGGACTCTGACTGGGCCACTCCAGAAGGCGTATTCTGTGCTGTTGCAGCCATTGTTTTGTTGAATTTACTTGAATGCTTTGGATCATTGTCCTGTTGCATCACCCATCCTCTGCGGAGCTTCAGTTGGCGGACAGCTGGTCGTACGTTTTCCTGCAAAATGTCTTGATAAACTCTGGAATTCATTTTCCCATCAATGACAACAATCCGTCCAGGCCCTGAGGCAGCAAAGCAGCCCCAAACCATGATGCTCCCTCAGCCATGTTTTAAAGTGGGGATGAGGTTTTGATGTTGGTGTGCTGTGCCTTTTTTTCTCCACATATAGTGTTGTGTGTTTCTTCCCAAACAACTCAATCTTGGTTTCATCTGTCCACAGTATATTTTGCCAGTAGTGCTGTGGAACATCCCAGGTGCTCTTTTGCAAACTTCAAACGTGCTGCAATATTCTTTTTGGACAGCAATGGCTTCCTCCGTGGTGTCCTCCCATGTACTCCATTCTTGTTTAATGTTTTCCTTATTGTAGATGTGTCAACAAAAATGTTAGCATGTGCCAGAGATTTCTGTAGGTCTTTAGCTGACACTCTGGATTCTTCTTTACCTCATGCAGCATTCTGCGCTGTGCTCTTGCAGTCATTTTTACAGGACGACCACGCCTAGGGAGAGTAGCAACAGTGCTAAACTTTCTCCATTTGTAGACAGTGTCAGGAATGGACTAGCTAGCAATGGTGGGACTCACCTGCCTTTTGATCTGCAGTACCAGGGCTGGCCAGCGGGTGCTCCCAGCAATCAGAGACTCAACTTTGCAGCCAGCTAACACCTGGAACTGATTATGCTGGGGTATTTAAGGGATGGCCAGACTTGCAGACTCTGCCTTGTGGTGTTGTGTTCTCTTGGGCCCTGTATCCTGTTCCTGCTCTCTGTTCCTGTCTGATTCTCTGCTGACCCTGCTCTGATCCCTGGCTTGTCTGACCATCCCTCTGCCTGACCCTCTGTACTACGCTGCTTGCTACCTGTTCTGATCCCTGGCTTGTGACCCTGACCATCCCTCCGCCTTACCCTCTGTACTACGCTGCTTGCTACCTGCTGAACCTGGCCTGTGACCCCGACCCATCTCCGCTTGCTCCCCTGTACCTACCTGCCCTATTGATATTGACCCGGCCTGCCTGACGACGCTTGCTTGTATGTACTGTTATCTGTGGGTGGTTTGGTTTGGTTGGTTTGGTTGCACTGTATTATGTTTTTAGTATTGCACTGCGTTTATGTTTGTATTGTTAGTGTTAATAAATTATATTGTTTATAACATATCTGAGGTCTGCATTTCCCTGCGTCAGCCACACACCTCTGGTCACACCTGGGAGCCCTGACATTACACCAAGGCCAATCCTGACCAGAAGTGGCTGCACAGGGAAGCCATCTTGGCTTGTTGCTGGGAAGGATGGATCTGGATGAGGTTGTGTATTTATATCTGCTAGTGTTTGATGACAGGGAGTATGCTTATCAAACTCTGAAGGAGTATCCCAGGGATCAACTACTAGAATGTATACGGCTCGCTCATGTTCTAGTAGATCAGGGCACAGAGTTCTCTGAGGTGCAGCCTTTGATTGAGGTTTGTGCTGAGTTGGTTTCATCTGGTTCCCCTGAATGCAGGGATGAATTTTTGCCACCATTTAGTGCAGACCAGGTAGAGTCCCTGGTATGGTTATTAGAGGATGATGTGGGTTACTTTCTGGAGCGTTATTCCACATGTTTACCACAGACACTAAGAGATTGTATAAACGCAGTGCAGTCATTGACCAGACAGGCTTTGTGTAAGCTCAGCTTTGTTCAACCCATACTGCAGACATGGACAGACTTGTTGCACCCAGCCTCAGTCAGCTTACAAAAACCCAGTCCTGCTTCTAACTCTACTCCTGTATTCCCACCAGCTCCTCCAGTTACAGCCCAGTATACTTGGCTATCTACCGCATGTCAGTACCCTGTTCCCACTCGCTGCACCTATCCTGCCTTTAACCCTGTAAAAAAGCCCTCTGTAGCAACTGCTCCCTCTCCTGTTCCATCCTCCAGTTTTTTCTCTGTCTCCAGCTGCTCCATTTGTTTGCAGACCTGCGTTTACTTGCAGTGCTCCAGTAGTTAAAAACCAGAAAAAAGCGAAAATTCTTTCCAACCAGTACCATCCTGCCAGTATCCAAACCGGTGAACCTGCCTTCCGTGACTCAGCCTGAAGCCTCTACTCAGCCTGAAGCCTCTACTCAGCCTGATGCCTCTACTCAGCCTGATGCCTCTCCTCAGCCTGAAGCCTCTCTTCAGCCGGATGCCTCTCTTCAGCCGGATGCCTCTCTTCAGCCGGATGCCTCTCTTCAGCCTGAAGCCTCTACTCAGCCTGAAGCCTCTACTCAGCCTGATGCCTGCATTCAGCATGATGAACTGATCCAGCCCGACGATCCTATTAGGCCAGTTGACTCGATGCCCGCTATTGATCCAGATGATCCGGTACCTGATCCAGTGCCCACTGTCGTGCCAATTGACTCAGAGCCCGCTGTCATACCTGGTGACCCGGTGTGCCCACTGCCTTGCCAGACGACTCGGTGCCCGCTGTTCCGCCAGTCGACTCGGTACCCGCAGTCTTGCCAGACGACTCGGTGCCCGCAGTCTTGCCAGACGACTCGGTGCCCGCAGTCTTGCCAGACGACTCGGTGCCCGCAGTCTTGCCAGACGACTCGGTGCCCGCAGTCTTGCCAGACGACTCTATGCCCGCTGTTTCCGCCAGTTGACTCGATGCCCGCTGTTCCGCCAGTTGACTCGGTGCCCGCAGTCTTGCCAGACGACTCGGTGCCCGCAGTCTTGCCAGACGACTCAGTGCCCGCAGTCTTGCCAGACGACTCGGTGCCCGCAGTCTTTGCCAGACGACTCGGTGCCCGCTGTTCCGCCAGTTGACTCGATGCCTGCAGTCTTGCCAGATGACTCGGTGCCCGCAGTCTTGCCAGACGACTCGGTGCCCGCAGTCTTGCCAGACGACTCGGTGCCCGCAGTCTTGCCAGACGACTCTATGCCCGCTGTTCCGCCAGTTGACTCGATGCCCGCTGTTCCCCCAGTTGACTCGGTGCCCTCAGTCTTGCCAGACGACTCGGTGCCCGCAGTCTTGCCAGACGACTCGGTGCCCGCAGTCTTGCCAGACGACTCGGTGCCCGCTGTTTCCGCCAGTTGACTCGATGCCCGCAGTCTTGCCAGATGACTCGGTGCCCGCAGTCTTGCCAGACGACTCGGTGCCCGCAGTCTTGCCAGACGACTCGGTGCCCGCAGTCTTGCCAGACGACTCGGTGCCCGCAGTCTTGCCAGACGACTCGGTGCCCGCAGTCTTGCCAGACGACTCGGTGCCCGCTGTTCCGCCAGTTGACTCGATGCCCGCAGTCTTGCCAGACGACTCGGTGCCCGCAGTCTTGCCAGACGACTCGGTGCCCGCAGTCTTGCCAGACGACTCGGTGCCCGCAGTCTTGCCAGACGACTCGGTGCCCACTGTTCCGCCAGTTGACTCGATGCCCGCAGTCTTGCCAGTTGACTCGATGCCCGCAGTCTTGCCAGACGACTCGGTGCCCGCAGTCTTGCCAGACGACTCGGTGCCCGCAGTCTTGCCAGACGACTCGGTGCCCGCAGTTCCGCCAGTTGACTCGATGCCCGCTGTTCCGCCAGTTGACTCGGTGCCCGCAGTCTTGCCAGACGACTCGGTGCCCGCTGTTCCGCCAGTTGACTCGATGCCCGCAGTCTTGCCAGACGACTCGGTGCCCGCAGTCTTGCCAGACGACTCGGTGCCCGCAGTCTTGCCAGACGACTCGGTGCCCGCAGTCTTGCCAGACGACTCGGTGCCCACTGTTCCGCCAGTTGACTCGATGCCCGCAGTCTTGCCAGACGACTCGGTGCCCGCAGTCTTGCCAGACGACTCGGTGCCCGCAGTTCCGCCAGTTGACTCGATGCCCGCTGTTCCGCCAGTTGACTCGGTGCCCGCAGTCTTGCCAGACGACTCGGTGCCCACTGTCGTGCCTGGTGACTCGGTGCCGGCCGCTCCGCCTGAGGGCCCGAGACCTGTCGCTCCGCCTGGGGCACCCAGAGACCTGTCGCTCCATCTGGGGGTCCGGCACCCGCCGCTCCGCCTGAGGGCCCGAGACCTGTCGCTCCATCTGGGGGTCCGGCGCCCGCCGCTCCGCCCTGAGGGCCCGAGACCTGTCGCTCCATCTGGGGGTCCGGCGCCCGCCGCCCCGCCTAGGGGCCCGATGCCTGTCGCCCGCCTGGGGGCCCGATGCCTGTCGCCCCGCCTGGGGGCCCGATGCCTGTCGCCCCGCCTAGGGGCCCGATGCCTGTCGCCCCGCCTGGGGGCCCGATGCCTGTCGCCCCACCTAGGGGCCCGATGCCTGTCGCCCCGCCTGGGGGCCCGATGCCTGTCGCCCCTCCTGGGGGCCCGATGCCTGTCGCCCCTCCTGGGGGCCCGATGCCTGTTGCCCCCCCGCCTGGGGGCCCGATGCCTGTCGCCCCGCCTGGGGGCCCGATGCCTGTCACCCCGCCCGGGGGCCCGGCGCCCCGCCCCGCCCGGGGACCCGATGCCGATCGCCCCGCCCGGGGGCCCCGGTGCCTGTCGCCCCGCCCGGGGGCCCGGTGCCTGCCGCCCCGCCCGGGGGCCCGGTGCCTGCCGCCCCGCCCGGGGGCCCGGTGCCTGCCGCTCCGCCTGGGGGCCCGGTGCCTGCCGCTCCGCCCGGGGGCCCGGTGCCTGCTGCTCTGCCCGGAGTCCAGCCCGATGTGCCTCTGCCCGGAGTCCAGCCCGATGTGCCTCTGCCCGAGTCCAGCCCGATGTGCCTCTGCCCGGAGTCCAGCCCGATGTGCCTCTGCCCGGAGTCCAGCCCGATGTGCCTCTGCCCGGTGTGCCTTTGCCCAATGTGCCTCTGCCCGGTGTGCCCCTGCCCGGTGTGCCGTTGCCCGGAGTCCTGCCCGGTGTGCCAGTCTTTGATATCCCGCCAGTTACCAGACCCGGGCAGTGGAACATTTTGCCCAGCTAGGACTGTTTGGAGCGTCCTGAAGCCGCTCCTTGAGGGGGGGGGTACTGTCAGGAATGGACTAGCCAGCAATGGTGGGACTCACCTGCCTTTTGATCTGCAGTACCAGGGCTGGCCAGCGGGTGCTCCCAGCAATCAGAGACTCAACTTTGCAGCCAGCTAACACCTGGAACTGATTATGCTGGGGTATTTAAGGGATGGCCAGACTTGCAGACTCTGCCTTGGTGTTGTGTTCTCTTGGGCCCTGTATCCTGTTCCTGCTCTCTGTTCCTGTCTGATTCTCTGCTGACCCTGCTCTGATCCTGGCTTGTCTGACCATCCCTCTGCCTGACCCTCTGTACTACGCTGCTTGCTACCTGTTCTGATCCCTGGCTTGTGACCCTGACCATCCCTCCGCCTTACCCTCTGTACTACTACGCTGCTTGCTACCTGCTGAACCTGGCCCGTGACCCCGACCCATCTCCGCTTGCTCCCCCTGTACCTACCTGCCCTATTGATATTGACCCGGCCTGCCTGACGACGCTTTCCTTGTATGTACTGTTATCTGTGGGTGGTTGGTTTGGTTTGGTTTGGTTTGGTTGCACTGTATTATGTTTTAGTATTGCACTGCGTTTATGTTTGTATTGTTAGTGTTAATAAATTATATTGTTTATAACATATCTGAGGTCTGCGTTTCCCTGCGTCAGCCACACACCTCTGGTCACACCTGGGAGCCCTGACAGACAGTCTGTCTTACCGTGGACACATGAACATCAAGGCTTTGGAGATACTTTTGTAACCCTTTCCAGCTTCATGCAAGTCAACAATTCTTGATCGTAGGTCTTCTGAGAGCTCTTTTTCTGCGAGGCATGGTTCACATCAGACAGTGCTTCTTGAAACCAGTAAACCCAAAACAGGTGTGTGTTTTTTAAGGGCAGGACAGCTGTCAGCAACACATCCAATATCATCACACTGATTGGAGTCAAGGTTGGCTCACTCCTGGCTCCAATTAGCTCTGGGAGAAGTCATTAAGCTAGGGCCTCACATACTTTTTCCTCCCTGCACTGTGAATGTTTACATGTTATGTGCAATTAAACCATGGCAACATCTAATGTTTGTGTAGTATTATGTTCAGCAGACTGTGTTCTTCTATTGTTGTGACTTAGATGACGTTCAGAGCACATTTTATGCCCAATTCATGCAAAACTCCATGTAATCCCAAGGGGTTCACATACTTTTTCTTGCAACTGTACATCTGCCCACCATTATCTACTCTTTAAAAGTTAAAAATAAAACATTTTGTGCATTTCTTTTCTTCCCATACCCAGTGGTTGGGCTTGAGAAAGCTGATAATAGTCCCAAAACTTCACTTGCAGAAACATTTATTCTGCTTTCACATTTGTAACTATTTTCAATCAAAGTTATTTTTATATTTATAAAATATGTGTGCAGATCACAACTACTGGGTATGGGTATTGTTTGATATCTAATTGCCAAAAGCGGTATTAATTCTGACACCAGGAAATCTTAAAGGTCCAGGCTACAACATGTCTCAAACAATACATGTAAGACATGTGCTCTTTTCTGCCCATTCTGTATAGGGCCATTAAAAGCGTAATTTGTCTGCTTTTAAAATTCATCAAGTTAAAAGTATTCAAAACCCAGTAACTGAGTTTGAAGTAAACTTTTGATTGGTTATATTACATCAGTGGTGAAACCAGTACCAGGCATCAATAAAACACGCCAAGGTTTTTATGAAAGGTCTTTTGACCTGCAAGTGCCCCTAAATATTGAGCCTATCAAAAATGAAAGCTAAAGTCCATAGATTTGGATATTTTTGTTCCAGTGCCCTTCTTTTTTTCTTTAGTAATAAAAAAAAAAAAAAATACCTTATTCCACAAAATTGAAAACAAGTAATTCTTGCTGCTTACTTATTCAAAAGAACGGAGTGACTTGTAGTCTCTGAGCTCTTAAAAAATTATAAAGCCAGAGAAAATCACACTTTGCTCCACCCAGACCTAATATATTACATTTGGTAGAGTTATAATGGATATTTTCTTCACAGCAAGATGTTGGACAAAAGGCAGTTGAAATTTAGGCATGTGTGTTGTCGATTAATACAAAAATCATCAATAAGCTTTGCTTATACTATAATAACCTAATACCACTTCTAAGTGGGCCAGCCGCTTATTGGATTCTTACATTTGGTCTCTACAGTAAACTGACAAGAGAGAGTGGTACAGACTTTCCAATCCCCAGTGTGCCCCCATCTCCAGACCATGAGACACTGAAACTCATCCGGGAAAAGGATGAAGAGGTCAGTGATCAATCTCTCTGGTAAACACAGTTAAAAATATTATTTAATATATATTTCAGAATATCTATTTACAATACTATTGTAAAGGCCAGCATGTGAATTGGTTTGTGAATTAGCAGAAAGCTATCAGTCTTCACCACATTTCCATATATGCATGCAAAAATAGAAAGACAAGAAACTGGGATTTTTTAAATGCTCAACCTCTTAGCAAGGAACAGACAACTACAGTATATGAATAAAAAAGAACTGTATTTATTCAATATTTTACATTTAAATCTACATTATAAAAATATACCTCATGTGTTGGTGATGTTCCCACATGGAAGATGACTCTTTCTTTCTTATTTTTTTATTTTCATACAATATAGCTCTTGGTTCTTTCCTGAGAGTTTGAGCACCTAAAAAGTCCTATCATATTTGAAAATGACTCCATTAGTATCTAATATCTGACTGGCAACAGTCACATAGTAAATGGGAAAATCCATTATTATTATTATTATTATACAGGATTTATATAGCGCCAACAAATAAAATATTAAATGTGTCGCGCTCCATCTACTAAACACTGAAATATTTGCAATACTCTCCCCTTCAAATGTGCATATCATGCACATCTGTGCTAATTAATAATAAATAATATAAAAGTAAATAAATATTAATCCATAGTGATGTAAATAAATTAAAAATAAAAACACCTCTGTGCTATAATTGATTATTTAAGCAATATTGCTAAATGTTTTATAAATTACTGAGATCAATAATGTAAAAAAACTCTAATAAATATATTCAAATTCCATATACGTGATATTATTGTTATAAAAATTAGATAAACAAGAAACCACCATTTAAGGTGATATATATGTGCAAAACAAAATATATATGTGCAAAATTCAAAATACACAAAAATTTTTTAAATAAAAATAAAAAAGACCTCTATTTAGTCTTGCTGTGCAAGTGATATTGTGTTCTCACCTCACTTATACAGCCCAAAGTTCTAAATGGAGCTATATACTTATTGTCCTTAACTAGACATAATATAAATGTCCCAATTTTGATCTCTGTAAAACATATATTGCTGTTGGAGTGGACTGTAATATTACTCTCCTTCCACTGGGTGGCCTCCCAAATTCTTCTGAGCTGTGAGGGCTAGATGGATGAATACGGATATCTCCCCTCGTCCTGTGGGGATCAATCTCCTATCTCCTCTTCTTCCCTTTTGCTCCTCCAGTTTAGACCATGAAAAAAAGAAAGATTCCCACATAGTGCTTTATCCTTTACAAAGACTTTAATTTATCTCCGGTAAAATGCGCACTCACATTCCACAAAGCAATACAGAGCGTTTTTCGATGTGTGCCCATGCACAATGACAGTACTCGCCGTTCTGCTGAAAGTGGCGTCAAGACGTCAGAGCCCCTCCCCTACGCGTTACGCCACAGGGTCACGTGGCTTCCTCAGTTTAGTAGATGGAGCGCGACACATTTAATATTTTATTAGTTTATTTTCACACAGCATTATGAGTATGTGTATTTGTGTTGATGCACCATCACATTTTTAGGAGTCAATTATCTATAAGCATTTTTTTAAATATCACTATAGTAGCTCACAAGTACACATTATTATAATTATATAGCGCCAACAGTTTTCTCAGCACTTTACAATATTACCGGAGACAATACAGCAACAATACAGTTCAATACACGAGGAATAGGAGGGCTCTGCTCCTTGGAGCTTACAATCTAGGAGGCAGGGGCTAGTGGTACAAAAGGTAGTAACTGTGGGGGATGGACTGGTTGGAAGAGTAGAAGATTCCAGTATTAGCTGAGGGCAGGATAGGCTTCCCTGAAGAGATAGGTTTTTAGAGATCGCCTAAAAGTGAGCAGAGTATGCGATAGTCTGATAAATTGGGGTAGAGAGTTCAAGAGGATGGGGGAAGCTCTGGAGAAGTCCTGGAGACGAGCATAGGAGGAGGAGACAAGGGAGCTAGAGAGTAGGAGGTCTTGCAAGGAGCAGAGAGTACGGTTTGGGTGATATTTAGAGACAAGATTGGTGATGTAATTTGGGGCAGAGTTATAAATGGCTTTATACGTTATTGTTAGTGTTTTAAATTTTATCCGTTGGGCAACGGGAAGCCAGTAGAGGGATTGGCAGAGAGGGGTGGCAGATATAGAACGGTTAGTAAGGTGGATGAGTTTGGCAGCAGCAATCATGATAGACTGAAGAGGGGATAGCCTGCGATGAGGTAGGCCAATGAGGAGGGAGTTACAATAGTCAAGGCGAGATATAACAAGGGAGTGAATAAGTTGCTTAGTGGTTTCCGAGGTTAGGAACGGGCGTATCTTGGAGATATTGCGGAGGTGAAGTCTACAAGATTTGGACAGTGATTGGATTTGGGGCTGAAAGGACAGATGGGAGTCTAGGATTACACCTAGTACCCTGGCATGAGGGGAGGGAATGATGACTGTGTTATTGATATTTATGGAGAAGTCAGGGGAGGGGCACGGGCTGGAGGGAATACTAAGAGCTCAGTTTTGGAAAGATTGAGTTTGAGGAAGTGGAGTGAGATCCATGCCGATATGTCACTTAGTAGGTTAGTAATGCGAGTGGAGACTGAAGGGGTGAGGTGAGGGGTAGAAAGATAGATTTGTGTGTCATCAGCATAGAGATGGTACCTAAAGCCATGGGAGTTTATCAAGTGACCAAGGGAGGAGGTGTAGATGGAGAAGAAGAAGGGGTCCAAGGACAGAACCTTGAAGGACCCCTACAGAGAGAGGGAGTGATGTAATCATACACTAGCCCAATCACCAAGTCTATTAGCACATGCATAGACCTGTAGTTGCTTAACATCTGGCAGCCTGTGAGTTGACTATCACTGATATCCATTTACATTTCCAGATTTACTTCACTAGATCAGTATTTCCTAAACTTTCATCAGTTGATACCACAATAGGATCTTTTCAACCTGCCACTTGATGATTATCAGCAGGACTTAGCACAGTCTTTGTGGGCTGATCTGACAAGGTTCACAACCTTCTCTGAGTCATTGCTAGGAACAGAACAATTGCAGGTCCTATACCTGTTTAAAATCATTTGTAACCCCTGGAATGCTCTACACATCTAAAATTTGTACAATATGGAGATATTTTGGTTACCATATGATTGTGTCATCAGTTCTATGCATCTCTAATATGTATTCTGGAGCCCAAGGTTCTCACAGCATTCACACTGTCAGCTACAAAATGCAAAATTAAAACATTAAAAAAAAATCGAAATTCAAGCCCAGAAGACGTGTATCTGCGGTCAGGACAGATACTGGCTATGACTTTATATTACTAAAGCCCAATTCAAGACTACATTTTTAGTTAGCTTCAGGATTTGTCAAGATTTTATTTTTTATTATTTTAATTTTTTTGTGAATGCTTTGGGGAAATTTACCTTCACATCTCATCCTGGCAGAAAGGTATACAGAGGCAGCAGAAGGAAGTAGTGGAAATAAAGAGAGAAAGAAAAACACTTTTTGTAGCAGCATGGAGAAGGGTTAGAATATTTGTCAGGTGTGTGTTGCTCTCAATGTGTTCTTCATTGTCCAGTGACACATGTTCCCCTTATCATGGTTTCACAATGACAGAAAGGAGGAGACATCTCCCTTATGCACAGACAGCAATAAAAACTTAGCAATCTTATTGCATTCTGGGAATGAGCAGGGGATCCAGTCTGTTATCTGCTCTTCATCCATTCACACAACAAAGTTCATTGTGGGACAGTAATGCTGGTTAGAAAATCGTTTTAAAATGGTCCACTTTATAAAGATCTGTCAAACGTGAATGTGATAATGCCATAATTGTATCTATTATTGCCCTCAATTATTGGTATATTATTGATCAATAACAACATAAATGGTGCATTGTTTGTCGATCTATTACACGTACAGGGTTACATTTTAACACAATCATACGCTGTAGATTTTTTCAAACTGTTTTCGCTCAAATCCACTTCTAATTTTTAGAAAATCAATTGTTGAGGCTCAAAAATTCTGACCTGACAGTTCTGTTTTTTTTTGCCATACAACTTTGCATTTCGGTCATCAAAATTAGCATATTGAATGCTTTTTTGAACGATTTTCTAACCGTGTATGGCATAAGAGAATGAGTTCTGTGAATGGTAGAGCAGGCAGAAAGGGGGTGAGCATCCTTTCACTGTAGTAGCAGCAGATTTTACCTATACAGCACCATTAAGGCAGTTGCTAAAGACAATATCTGGTGGCTCTGCGGAGGCACTGAACAGATCATTTTTTCAGCAGCATCAGCTGTCTGCAGTTAATGGGATATACACCGTTACAAATAATTAACTATTACAGCGTTGTATCCCACCCCCCACCCCAGAAATAAAACAAAAATATACATACTAAACTTCTTCAGATTTAAAAAACTGAAACTTCCACTTGAAATTATTATATTATTATTATACAGGATTTATATAGTTCCATCAGTTTGCTCAGCACTTTACAATATAAAGGGAGACAATACAGCAACAATACAGTTCAATACAAGAGGGTTAGAAGGGCCCTGATCCTTGGAGCTTACAATCTAAGAGATCACATTATCATGTTAACACTCAAATAAGATTTTAGTGACTGTTTGCATTTACTTTAGTCAGTTCACTTATCATTAGTGCTATCTATATTTATTTATAAGCAAAGACAGCATAGAGGAGCAATTTCTTGAACCCCAAATGATGTTCTAACTCATTCTTTCTTATTTCCCCAGCTGCGGAGGATGCAGGAAGTTCTGCAGAAGATGCAGAGACAGATGAAAGACTCTCATTAAGCCTTTCCTGTGCCACTCTTGACTCGTTACCTCTGTTTTCCCACTGATATCTCTACTTTTTGGAAACATCAAGCTTATGGAATTGAACATACAGACCAGGTGCCTGCAGAGGGAAAACCAAACATGAATAGAAAAATAGATAAGTCTAGTAAGCACAACTCTGGGACATAGTATAGGCTTTCGTATAGACAGGGTTTAGTG